TGTTCTCCAGCCAGTTCCCAATCCATCTTGCCCAGAGCTCATCCATCACTTTGCAAATAGGAACTGGGGGCTCTTTATCCTCTACATGATCTTTGTTATTTCCCTCTATTTAAATAAAAGCAATCACCCTTCTCCAGGAAGCAGCGCTCGGTCACATTATCTTGTCCACCACAGATCGGAGTTTGCTTCCCCGCTGCTAATTCCCCAGGCTCGCTTGCTGCCAGGACGTTCATTACCTCTTATCAGGAATTCTGATTTTTAAGCGAGAAAGAGAGTGTTTCTCCAGGGAATGCTGTGTCCAGGCATGGAGGAGAGGGGTGTACAAGAGGAACTTTTTTTTTAACTATTTGTTTTACCCAACATTGCAGGTGAGGCAAACCATCTGCTGGGGCGCAGGAGCCGTGCTGAGCTGGTCCCCGTATGAGCAAGGCACAAACCAGCTTGGAAGAGGGAAGCAAATGGGTCCTGACTGGAATATCTCATTATGATGACTGCTTTTTTTGGTGCACACACCCCTTTTCCCAAGTGGGATGAGCAGTGCTGGACATCCATAAGGACCAGACTTGGCGCAGGGATGGCAAAAGCGAGCGAGCCCTGGGGAGCTGCACAGACTGGCCGTGTCCTGTCCCAGGATGTAGGTGTCCCTGGTGCCCGGATCGCAGCGGTGGGGGCTGCCAAAGTGTTCAGAGGGTGGGTATCCCAGATCCAACCAGCCATCCATCGAGTGCTCTGGCGCTGCTGGGTCCCTGGCAGCTCCAAGGAGAGAAGAGGACGTTCAAGGTGACAATGTGTGTTGTCCTCATGGGCGAAGTGTCTTCCTTTACCGTTCTTATGAAATGCTATCCTTTTTCAGAAAGTCCATATCTCCATATTATCCTGGGATTCTTATTACCCCTTCATTTTATTTTCCCATTTTCTGCTTCCTATAGGCTTTTCTGAGTCCTCCAGCATCAGTGACAGCTTGTAGCAACAAGTCCAGCAGGTTAACGGCATCACGCACTAATCATTTTCTATCGCCATTTTTCAGCAGGTCTCTTGGATTTAATTGCCCGTTGCCTTGCTTTTAAATTACAGGGAGAGTAATGTCCTGTTGACTTTCCCTAAAAACTTTTTTTTTTTTTTTTGACCCTTTTTATCATATCACTACTTTTCTGCTGTAACCAGCAGAGAGTTTTTATCCCTGTTTTTCCCTCTCTTGGCTCCATACTTTGGCAAATCATCCTGGCAGGGAAAAATAGGTTTCTGGTGACTATCACAGTATTTCCTGGAGGTGTTGGCTTTCTCCATTTCTAGCAAAATTTCAAAAAGGAACATTTTAATTAAGGATTAGTATCTGAGCTTTCTCTTTTTTCCTTCAAAGGGGATAAATTTTTGAAAATGACAAGCAGCAGGGAGGAAGAGCCCAAGTGTTTTGTCTTTTTTCCCTCCTTTTCTTCCCAGTGGTAAAAGATTATTTAGGTGGAATTCTCCTTCTTTCTTTTCAGGACTCGCATGCTCTGTTGCAGATACGTGCACACTGCCAGCCCTGCTTGAGACTCACCCGGTTCTTCATCGACCAGCAGAGCAGGGAGGAGATTACAGCGAAACACCCAGATATTGGCTCTTCCCTCGATGGTCAGCTCTGAAACGGAGGGAATCTGGAGGGCTGCAGGAGTGGAAATCACGGGCAATGGTCTGACCCTGCAGCTCCCTCCAGCTGCTCCATGTACCCAGGTACCTTGTACCCCGCAAGAATGGCGTGGGCTTCACCCCAGAAAACAAAGGATGGGAAAATATTGGGATGACTGTGTCATCTGGCCAGGGGCTGTGGGTGCGATCGCCGCTGGGGTCCAGCACAGCGACTGCAGGGAGGCAGAGCCCTTCGCTGGGATCCTCCCACCACCAGCCCCGTTCCCTTCCCTAGGCTTCGTCTCCTGGCTCTGGGATCCTGACACCAGTGATGAAGTAGGTGCAGCGCTGGCATAGCCTCCTGATAGACTAAACACACCATGCGATGCGGTCTGTGACATTCAAGTGGGGCCAAGCTGGCATGGAACTTTCCATTACAGGGCTTTGTTTTGCTGAAGGAAAATGTGACTTCTGCGCAATCAAAAAACTTCCAGAGGAGACAGATCAGCTTCTCTTTTTATCTTCAGAGACACCTGACTGGAATATTTTGAGTCAGATTGCAGCGATTTCTGTGGAAATGATCACCTTGGGACAGCACAGCCCCACAGTCGGCTCGCGATGAAATCATTCTGCACTCGAAATATTGCTATGAGTACACTCGTGGCTTCAGGGACAGGCTTGGTGCTGTCTTTTTACAGGGAAAAAGAGTCTGAGGAGTCTGTGAGCAGCTCTGCTTGCATGAAATATGGACCAGGCACTAGCCATGGGGTCCCACGTCCCCCTCTCTAGCGGTTCCTCAGCCACCCATGCACAGTTTGTGAATCCTGCGAAGGGAAGGTGTGAAAAACCTACAGCTCTAGACAAAGCTGGGTCATACAGGGAGCCAAGGCTCACACAAACACTGCCCAGGGTCAAGCAGAGTCAGCTCTGTCGTGTGCTGCCAGCTGCAGAGCCAGCCCAGGGAGGAGAAAGTCAATTAATGGCACAAAATGAGGGGAAGAGACCTGTGATTGATAGAGGATGGATTGCCATCATCTCTACTTGCAAATAAATCACCGCTCAGCAGCACAAAATACATGTTTGCAAATCACTCACTTCCTTTTCTTCTTCCTAACAAGGAGGTTTTGGCTTGTTCAAAAAAGGCTTTGACTTCCCGGTCGTAGAGCCTGCTGAGGTTCTGGGCATAGACCTGGAAAGACAAGACGGACACAGAAATTCCTGGTGTATCTCATCTCTCTGAACAGTGCCCATTTCAGAGCTTTTTCTTCAGCTGCACACCTAAAACAAAAGTCAGAAGATGGCAACTGACACAGACTTATTGGTGTTGGTGTGGAAGACCTTCAGAAAGGCAAAAACCAGAATGAAAAATATAAGCCAAGCGTCAGCGATATAAAAAGAACTGTCTCGGTAACTTAACAGCGTCCCGAAGAGCCAAGGACTTCAAGATGCCTCTTTCCTAGAACCCATCAAATAAAGCAGAGTTGGATAAAATACAAGATGAAGCACATTCATTTCATGGTTATCACCCTTATTCATCAGAAAAATGGCCAGATAAAAGCAAAAAGACCAAATTTTAGCATTTCAGACCTTTTCCTTCAACATAATGTCTGCTCCCGAGTCCCTGACTGCTTTCTGTCAAGCCCGGAGGTCCAACATCATGTGGCGAGGTTGGCCAGACCCTCTCCAAGAAGGACCAAATGCTGGAAGCTGGTGGGTGGTATGGGCTTGGTGACACCAAGCTTTCATCACCAACGAACCAGTTTGGCTAATCCGTTCCTGGTGAGTTGTTCAGGATTTCAGCCCTACCTTGGGGAGATCAGAGAACAGAAGCGGGCTGGCGTTCCTCAGCCAGGCCATGAGTGGGGCATAGGGCAGCAGTTCCTTGTGGTGGGGCCCATGGCTTGGTGCAGAGAGCTTGTCGATGGGTTGACCAAGAGCAGGGACCTGAGCATTGCCCTAGAGCAACAGAAACAGCAGAAAGAGTCACATAAAATATCGCCTTGAAAAGCTCTGGAAAATAACTGCTTCGTAATTGCCCTTGAATTTCCAGTTCTGAATATGTTGAGAAGGGTGAAGCAGAGCATGCATGATCACTTTGAACTCTAGGGTTAATTCCATGTCGTGGGAACAATTCTGAGCCCAGAGGAAGGAGCTGGCCCATCCGGAACGTGCAGGATACTCCAGCTAAGCACAGTGGTGTCATAGTTCTACACAACACCGCTCGCTCACCCTCTCCCCTCCCAGGGATGGGGGAGAGAATTAAAGAGGTGAAGGGAGAAGAGATTCGTGGGGTGAGATAAAACAATTTAATAACTAAACTGCAATAACATTGGAAATAATAATGATAATAGTGATATATAAAAAAATATGAATGAGCAATACACAGTGACACTGCTCACCACCTGATGACCAAGGCTCAGCCTGTTCCTGGAGCAGGGACAGTCCCAAGACCATAATCCCAGAATGGAGATAAGAGACTGAGACAGCCCCGAGAGAGACAAGCCAGAGCAAGAGAGAGTACTGCTGGGCAGAGCCTCACCTATCCCCTGGCCAGGCTGTGTATGATATGGAACAGACCGTTGGCCAGTTTGGGTCTCAATCCTAAACCTGAGGTCAAATCAATTTCTTCTGCACACCTGCAAAACTAACCAGAGTGCTGGGGGGCAACGGCAGGGTGAAGCTATGTGCAAAGGTCTCCTTTGGGAGATGCTTTTGGAGAATTCTCTTCTTGCGGCATCCCCTGTGATGCTGGGACTATTCTACCAGAACCTTCAAAGCTCCCAAGATTTTGAGCTGCCAGGAGAAGAGCAAAGCCCACCTGCAGCTCAAAGATGCTGGTAATGTGACTGATGAAAGAGCTTTCAAAGTTCTGCTTGAGTGTCTCGAACATGATCAGCTGCTCAGCCACAGACTGCAGTTTCCGATAACCTTGAGGGGAAAAAAAAGAGAGGGTATCATGGTATGGAGCGGCAGAAACAATCATCACTGCAGACCAGCATCACTCAGCACACGAGCAAAGGAGACAGGTCTTCAGGGAGTAAGTTCTGGGATAAATACTACCACCCAAAAGCCAACAAAGGGGAAAAAGTTTGCTGTGATACCAAGCAAATACAGGGAGGGGAGGGAGTTTAAATTTTTAAAAATAACAATTTCTTGCCATAAATTTGCCTCAACTTTAATGTAAACTGGACCCGCTGGTGCCTGAGTCCAGAGGGAGGGCCCTGCAGACCTACCCATGGTGCATGGGTGCCCCAGCGTGGCCATTGGCGGCATGGATTGGGAACTGGATTTCTCCAGGTATGGAGCCAATCCCCCTCCCCAGCTGCTTTTCTCCCTGGATGTGCAGAGCTAACGTCACGTTGGCTTTCCCAGCCCTGCTTGACTGCTCCTAGGGGAAGCTGCTGCAGACTGTGAAAGCTTCAGCAGCATCTCCAGAAGATGTATCAGTATCTTTATCAGGGAACGTAGTGATAGAATGAAGGGGAACGGTTTTAAGCTGAAAGAGGGGAGATTGAGATGAGATCTGAGGAAGAAATGTTTTCCTGTGTGGGGGGTGAGGCAGTGGCCCAGGTTGCCCAGAGCAGCTGTGGATGCCCCATCCCTGGAGGGGTTCAAGGCCAGGCTGGATGAGGCTTTGGGCAACCTGGGCTGGTGGGAGGTGTCCCCGTCCGTGGCAGGGGGTGGGACTGGATGGGCTTTAAGGTCGCTTCCAACCCAAACCATTCCATGATTCTATGACTCCATGAAGAAAGCCGACCCTTCAAGCCTGTTTCCCCAGCTCGCAGCTCTGGCTCTGCACCACACACCCCACACACCCGCTGGTCAGTGCTTGGGGCTTCCCAGCTGCATGCCTGCCTTCTGTTTCTTTTCTCCTTTGCCCAGCAGCCTGCAGAGCTGTGCAGCAAGCGTGTGAGATAATTCCTGGGCTGATTCCCAGCTTCCATGGTTCAGGGGTGCCTGCAGCGGCCAGGCAGCACGGAACGGTGCAGGGTGTGCAGCACAGGCTGGGGATGAGCTGGTGGCTCTGCTGTCTGCAGACATAAATCTCTGCTCGCTACTCACCGGGCTGGATCTGGATGTTCATGCAGCCAGACAAAGCCTCTGCTGCAGCAATGCAGGCTTCCACGCTGCTGAGGCTGGAAAGATCTGCCCGGCTCAAGGCATCGCAGTGTTCCCTGCTGAGGTCGAGGTGGGTCTGAAAACAAAGCCAGAAAAGAATGGGTACAAGCACAGCCAGCTTCTCATCCCTTCTCACCCCATCCAGAAGGCTGCGGGCTTGAAATAGCCCAGTGCTACCTTCTGCTGCCAGGCTGCACATGTCCATTGAGACTTTCTGCTCCATCCCCACTAAAAGCAAAGGTCTGCACAGCACCAACGGCAGCAGCCCCAGAGGAAGCCCTGGCAAACCTCAGCATGGGTTTCCAAAAAATCAGCACCTCTGGCATCGCTATCAGCAGCGATGTGGTGGGGAGGAGAAAGAAAAAGCTATGGGAACTCAGGAATGAAAAGGTCAACAGCATCGAGGTCAGTGCAGGCAGTGGAAGTGAGGATTAGCTGTGCTATTGCAGCACAGTTCTTGCATTTGTGGTATGTGATGTTTGTAAATAATTTGCTTTCCCATATTCCCAGAGCCCACCAAGAATCTTTCCACTGCCTGGGCTGTCCCCTGCATTGCTGTGGCTCTGAGGGACTGCAAAGAACAGCTCCGGACTCCAGAATGGATGCTGAGCCAGGCTGGTGCACAGACTCCACAGTTAAGTTACCTTCAGGGGTGGAGGGGGAAGAAAAAAAAAAAAGGAAAGCAAAGGAGATAAAAGGAATGGGGAAACTCCCATCAGTGGGAAGAAAAGCAACAGGGTCCCTGGACAAGCAGCCTCTCCAGGGCAACACGGATTCCCCAGACTGCTTTTCCCATGGGAGGTGTTCCCATGGTAGACTATGGATGGTCCACAGCGTTTCTCTGCAGGTGAGGTTACCAGTGCTGATGGGAGCGTGCTTTGACCAGGGGAGGGTGTTGCACGCTCTGGCTCTAATTGCTCATTAAGTCCTGTGCTTGAGTATTCCTGTGTGATTATTATTGGCCATTGAAATGACTATTACCTGCTAATGAGAGCTGGTTTTCCCTCCTACCAAGATATAAACTGAAAGCTACCAAGGGTAAGGGAGGAGAGAGCAACTACCCTCAGTGACAATTGCTTCCCATGAGAAACCCCCAAACCAGACATTGGGGTGCCTGGAATTTGAAGGCACAAGACTGGGAGGATGTCAGTGCTTTGGATAAGGGTGAAAGCGCTGCCCCAGCAGCCTCTGAGCATGTGAGGAGGAGGTCCCAAAGCTGACAGTGAAATGCTGACCCCAGCATCCCCAGGGAAAGGCTGCAGAGCTGCGTTTGGAAGGTCCTTGGCATTGCCTCATTTCAGTTCAGCATCATTTTCAGAGTGTTTGAGGGTCACTGAAAGTTTTTTCTAGCAGAAGCTGAAGACTTATTTCTTTGCAAACCCATGTACCGTGAGGAAGTGGATCTCATCCATCAGCCTTGTCTTGTTGGAAATGATGCGATGTAGCAAGGAGTTTTCCTGGTGGATGTGGTCCATCTGCTGCTTCACGCTTCCCAGTAACTCATCATAGATCTGCAGGGTCTCCCCCACTCTGGCCACCTCTGCCAGGGCCTCGTCGATGGAGCTCATCAGCTGTGTCACCTGCTTCTCCGAAGAGATAATGGCTCTGAGGTTGGCCTGGGAAATGGAGAAAGCAGAGACCCTGGCATTATAACGTGCAAGATGCTGTGATAATTGCAGCCATCCTGCATCACCACCTGCATGAGGTCGAGGTCTTATCCTTGCGCTTGGCTAAACTCTATATTGGCGACCATCTGCATGTCCCAAGTGCCAGGGCAGAGGAAAACCCAGAGCAGAACACAGGCTGTGTGGGTTTGGAGGGGGTCCCAAGCCATGCTGGCTCCTGCACCCCACTTCTCCCTCTGTGCACTAGGAGAGTCCCAAGCGGATGCTGAATGGAGTCTCCAACCCTCAGTCCCCACAACTGGTGAAGTTCCCTGAGGACCTGCATGTCCATCCCACAATATTTCATAGAATCACAGGATGGTTTGGGTTGGAAGGAAACTTAAAGACCATTGGAATTAAGGGCAGTGGAATTAATCAGCAGTTAAATCGTGCATAAGCCATGCACGTATACATGCCTCTGAGATGGGAACTGAAGGCACAGTTTGCCTAGGGAGGTCTCAGGCATTTGTTTTGACCAGTGGTAGGGATCTAACAGCGTGTTAATCGCTGCTGACAAGCTCCACTAGCGATGAACTGCTTCCTAATGTTAATGGCGCTGTTTGCAGGGCCTGGGTACCACGGGGGATGTCAAGGAAAACAATCAATAGACATGGGCCTGGGGGGTGGGATGCTTCTGGACTGCTGTTTTTCTCTCCATTAACAGCTTTTTAAAGAAGCTTGTATTTTCTGGTATTTCAGTTATCTGACCTATTTTTCATTAAATTAAGAAGAACAGAAGCATCCACACCCTCCCAGTGATCCCCACGCTCTGCTCCCCGCTGGGAAATGATGAGGAGGAAGAGAAGCAAAGTCTTGTCAACCCAAGTCACGTTACCGGGGCTCGGACCTGCCCCGTGCTCCGAATTAGGACTGTGCCTGAAAGCGCTGGGTCTACAACACCTGCGGTAAGGGTTTTTCTCTTTTTCAAGCTCTGTCTGCATTGCCATGGGGGTAAAGGCGAGCTGGCTGCTCCAGCTCTGGAGGTGGAACACACAGAACAAGGTGCTGGAGCAGCACAGAGGTGGAATTAATAAAGTCATTAATGTTAATAATTAATAATGTTATTAATTAATAACAGCATCCTGAGATGGGTGAGAGCTGCTCTGCAGCACACGCCTGGACCGGCCGGCTTCAGTCTCCCTGGCAAAGTGTGGGTCATGCTCTCCAGTGAGAAATGGAGCCTTGGTTTGGGAAAGGGTGGGAGAAAGGACTGGGGGGCGGCTGCAGGTGCGGGCAGATTCGCAAAGGACCTGGAAAGGTCAGAGGAACCGTGTAGGAAAGCAAAGCCTGGTACCACAGCAAACAGAGCCAAGCCTCGCTGTCAGGGAGTAGAGATGCAATTCCCACGCCCCAGAGGGATGCAGCGTTCCCACTGTGGGATTTGAAGCAGGACTCGCTATTGCACACAGAGACTCACCTCCAAAAGCACCATCCATACCGAGCCAATGCTCCTTTTGCCCGGAGCCCAACCACCCTACGTAGGACAGCACGAGAGAGCAAACAGCCCTCACCAGAGACCCTGTCCTGTGGCTGCGGGCTCTGCCCAGAGCTTCTTCCCATTTTATTAAATGTTCCTAAATTACAGCCCTAAACCTCCCACGAGCCTGTTGCCACCGCACCTTCCGATTTTCTTATTAGGGCTTAATGGACCCACGGGTGCCTGCCTGGAGCCAAGCATCACCAGTGACACTGGCAGGGCAAGGGGCGGCTCTCCGGCGAATCGCCGCACGGGTGGGGATAATCATCCTCCTGCTGGAGGGGGACAAACTGCCGGGAGCTGCCAGCATTGCAGCAGGTGCTGGGACCCTGCAAGGATGTTGGAATACCAATGTAAAAATCAGAGCTGGCAGCCTCCCGCGTGCCCTGGCCGTCCTTTCCTTCCCTCCGAAGCGGATAAGAGCTTTCCTGCTGTTGGGGGGGCGTTTGGCAGTCCCCAGAAGAGATGGGTTGGCAGAGGGTGATTAGTGTTGTAAGAGGAGGACGAGGTGTTATCACCGGGGCATGGGGAAAAACATCTAAATAGATGCATGGGCTAGTCCAGCTTGCTGGTATTAATAATGCTTAATGTCATAGAATGAACCTGGGAAATAGAAACATCTCATTGATTAATTTGTATTAGCGGTAAGTGACACTGATTCATTAGAGAGAATTAAAATAATGTATTCAGCAGCGCCTTTCATCTCAAGAAACTTAATCAAGATTCATTAGTTGCCCTCATAGGGTATTTTACAGCTGGGAAAAAGTCACAAAGTGCCTGTAGGGCTTGCTGAGAGCAGGCAGGAGCAGACCTCAGGAGTCTGCTCTTCCAGATTAACCGCTGGGTTTTGCAGTGTAGTAAGTCAAATATAAATACAAATTGGGAACACAGCAAATACTGGAGCTGAAGGAGGTTGGATTCAGGGTTTGTGGTTTCTCGTATGTTTTAGGATATTTCATTTGGTTTATTTTCTTCCCTTTGTTCTTCAGGTGCCTACCATGAAGCCCTAGCACCAGATATATCAGTAGCTGTTCCATCATTTTGCTCCAGCACTCAAAGAAACAAGTTATCCTCTGCAGAAATGCAATAAAATATCACAAAAAGGTGTTTTAACCAAAAAGGTTAAAGCTATGGGTTGCTCAAGGTCTCTGCTGGCCGCTGACCTGGCGGTAAAGGCCAGAGGCAATGCCCTGAGACAAACCTCTTCTGCAGCAGTGAGCAGAGAAACGATGGTCCTCACTCACGCTGAGTGGGACACAGAGATGCCTTTCGAGCTGAAGTGGCACAACACCGAGACGACGTTCTCTGAGATCAAGTGCTCAGAGCAAACGAAAGAGCTGCTGATACCCAGAGACTCAGTGCAGTGCCCCGACACACCAGGCACCTTTTTTTGGGGTTGAGTCACAGCCCTTGGCCCCCTCACCTCATCCAGCACCTGGAGATCGTTGCTCAGCTGCTCCGCAAAGGCCACCGAGTTGTTCACGAGGGGCTCGTACTCCTCCATCAGCGTCAGCACGTCGGCAGCTTCCTTCGGTGTCATCTCCTGGTACACGCTGAGCTCCTCCTGGCTCCCGGTCTCTGCGGCAGCCTTCCTGCCTTCTTGGGGTCTTTGGCTCCCTGCATGGACAGGAGGACACGTGGAGGTGGCCAAAGGCTTCCAGGTATGTCATTCTACTGGCCCTGCTAATGTCAGCCCAAGGTCCCATTGAGTCCCATGACATGAGCCCAGTGGTCCCAGTCTGCTGCTCAGAATAAAATCACAGCATGGAGCAAAGACAGATGTGGGTGGGATAAAGGGTCGGCTTTGGACAAAATGGACATCTGACATTGAATTTGGGCTCTGGCTGTGGTTTTAGTTGCTCACCTCTGTAGGACTGTGTGTTGATATGTTTGTTACACAAAGCTGAGACACATTTCAGCGATGACCAGGGTTCTTCTGATCAAATATACTGATAGTCACGTGTTGTAGAGTAAAATATGTTTTATTCTATATATATAATATAGATATAAGATATATATA